TGGAACTCTACAGGAGGCTGCAAAGTCATGGGTCAGCCTGGGGCTAGCGCTGGTGGCGAGGAGCGGGGCCCCGGGAACCCAGCACAGGTTTTTCCAAGCCGTCTGGGAGGGGACCTGTCTCACCCTGCCTGGCACCTCGCCACACTTGACCCCATGCCTTCCTCCAGCCCTCCTCTGCCTCTGCCCCGGCCTCTAACTCCCCAGGCGTCCCACGTCCCGCTCTCACCCCTGCAGGACTCATCACTAGCAGCCAGGCGGCAGCCTATGCCGTCAGCAAGTTTGTGAGCGGGGTCCTGTCTGACCAGATGAGTGCTCGCTGGCTCTTCTCTTCGGGGCTGCTCCTGGTGGGCTTGGTCAATATAGCATTTTCCTGGAGCTCCATGGTACCTGTCTTTGCTGCTCTGTGGTTCCTCAATGGCCTGGCACAGGGGCTGGGCTGGCCTCCGTGTGGGAAGATCCTGCGGAAGGTGCGTGCTTGCTTCCAGGGAGCTTCTTTAGACTGGCACAGGGGATGCCTAAGGAGCATGTGGGAGCATCGGCACCCTCATCCCAGGGCAGCAGTTTCCCTGGGAGTTCCAGTCCAGCTCCTATTGCTTGTTAAGATATTTTAGGAGCTAAACATGGTGGGATCGGGTGGCAGATGAGGGAATTGGCCCTGCCAAGTAGAAGCGCCTTCTTCCTCATCCCTGTAACGTGAGCTCCTAGGTCTGCCCCACCTGACCTGCACCTTCAGCGTGTTGAATGGGGGCACCTCCTCCGTCCCCTCTATCCCACAGTGGTTCGAGCCATCTCAATTTGGCACTTGGTGGGCCATCCTGTCTGCCAGCATGAACCTGGCTGGAGGGCTGGGCCCTATCCTGGCCACTGTCCTCGCCCAGAGCTATAGCTGGCGCAGCACGCTGGCCCTGTCGGGGGCCCTCTGTGTGGTGGTCTCCTTCCTCTGCCTCCTGCTCATCCACAATGAACCTGCCGACGTCGGACTCCGAAACTTGGACCCCACCCCCTCCAAGGGCAAGAAGGGTGAGCACCCACCCAAGCTGGTGATTGGGGCACCTTCATTCATCACTTATTTGGCAGACTTTCATTGAGGACTGGCTGTATGCCTGGCCCCGGGCTAGCCAATGGTGGCAGGGGGAGGGATGGTGATGGCGAGTTGGTGGGGAGTAAATAAAACTTCGTTCCAAGAGACACTTAAGTACCAGACAAGTGGCAGATCCAACAAATGCTGTGACTCATGTTATATCCTGGTCCGTCCTCACAGCAGAGCCAGACTCCCCTGTCCTGGACAGCATCCCAAGCTTAAGTGGCTCAGATGCCTTCCGCCATGTGCCTTGGTCCTCAGTTTCTCTCTCATTTGCTGAGGCTTGCAGTGGAGGGGAGAGGGCAGAGCAGTGGGCAAAGGGGTGCCCTCCTGCTGATGCCTGGCTATGGGGATAGACTCTGGCCCTGTGGCTAGTTAATGAGTGGTGGGGGCTCGGTCAGGGCAGAGCAGCAAGAACAGAGCCTGAGGCCTGGCCTCCTCCTGCCCCCAGGCTCCTTGAAGGAGGAGAGCACCTTACAGGACCTGCTGCTGTCCCCCTACCTCTGGGTGCTCTCCACTGGCTACCTTGTGGTATTTGGAGTAAAGACCTGCTGCACTGACTGGGGCCAATTCTTCCTTATCCAGGAGAAAGGACAGTCAGTCCTCGTGGGTAAGATGAGTGTTGGAGCAGGGGTGGGCCTAGGGAGCAGGAATCAATGAAGGGGATGGGAAACTCAGGCCCAACTTCTCTTTATCCGAGGCCAGGCACCACCCAGAGAGTTGCGGCCAGTCACCCTTGGGGACCCGTACCTCTCTGGGTTCCAGCCATTCGGACAACCCCAGTGTGTTTAACCCCCTTCCACTCCTCCTTTCCCTCTTCCCACCACAACTCCTTACTCCAGGTAGCTCCTACATGAGTGCCCTGGAGGTTGGGGGCCTTGTGGGCAGCATCGCAGCTGGCTACCTGTCCGACCGGGCCATGGCAAAGGTGAGTGGGCAGAGGGGACAGGAAAGAGGAGGGTCCCTTTAAACCTTCCCAGCATGACTGGGACAGGCACCAGAGAGGCGGGAGCCCTGGGGCACGGGCAGGCTGGCATATGGGTTGGGGGAAGCTGGAATGATTCCACGCAACTCTTACCTGCTGAGGATGGGGTGGCAAAGTAAGGCTCTTGGGGAAAGGGTTCTAACGGATATCAAGGAGAGCCAGAATTTCTCTCAGCTTAGCAGCGGGGTTCTCTACAGGCCGAGGGAAGCTGGGGTTGAGGAGAGACTAGGTGCAGCTTGCTAGCACGTGTCCCCAAGGTGGAGGAGGGGATGTGGTGGAGTTTGGCCTCGGGATATAATGAGCAGGTCCCAGGGCCTCCCAGAGCTGCCCCGGGGCCAAGAACCGTGGTGGGATTGCCAAAAACCTGTCAGCAGAAGCCCTGCCGTGTCAGAGTCCAGGGGCGGATGTTGCCTGCTGCTTCTGGGGCGTGACACTGCTGGGCCTGTATCCACAGGCAGGGCTGTCCATCTACGGGAACCCTCGCCACGGCCTGTTGCTGTTCATGATGGCTGGCATGACCGTGTCCATGTACCTCTTCCGGGTAACTGTGACCAGTGACTCCCCCAAGGTAAATGAGGAGTGCCTGGCCTGCCACTGGCACAAGGATGAGAGAGCAAGGGCCACTGACTGTCAGGTTCCCTGTCCCTGACTCTACCCTGGCCCAGGCCTTTCTCTGCCTCTCAGATTTCCCTTTCCAGTTCTGGTTTACCTTGTGCCCTCTGTACTCTGGCGCTCCTTCTGGACTTGGGGCCTGGTTTTCTTCTCTTCCCTGTGCTCCTCTAGGATGTTGCTTTCTGGACTCCAGCTCTTCACCCTCTCGCTGAGCTCACAGGCTTTACGGAGCATGAGGTGCCTTATCTGTGGCTTTCCTCCTAGTCTGTCTTCCCCTTGTCCTACCCTGTCTGCCTTGCTGCTAGCATCAGTTCTAAGAGACAGCATCTAACTGGGAGGGATGGCTTCTGCGTCCCCTTCACCTACCCACTCAGGCCCTCAGGTGGACTCAGCATGGCTCCACACCTCTAGCTTGGCCCTGTCAGTTGTATCGGGAAATGGGGAGAGGGAGGCCACTCACTACCTCCTTACTGCAATCATGTGTTCCTGGGGCCAAGCATCTTTCTCTCCCCTGGCAGGGGTAGGTAGGTAGGGCTTCTCAGACTCTAAATGCCACCCTGCATTGTCCTTGCAGCTCTGGATCCTGGTGCTGGGAGCTGTGTTTGGTTTCTGTTCTTACGGTCCCATTGCCTTGTTCGGAGTTATAGCCAACGAGAGCGCCCCTCCCAACTTGTGCGGCACCTCCCATGCCATTGTGGGACTCATGGCCAATGGTAAGCGGTGCTCTCCAGAGCGTCCACCTGATCCCCGCTGTTGCCTTGTGCATAGGCTAGCTGGAGGCTGGGGCCAGCGCCACTGACTCTAGCCTCACAAGTGACCCAGGCTCTTACCCCCCTCCTCTGCAGTGGGCGGCTTTCTGGCTGGGCTGCCCTTCAGCACCATTGCCAAGCACTACAGCTGGAGCACAGCCTTCTGGGTGGCTGAAGTGATCTGTGTAGCCAGCACAGCTGCCTTCTTTCTCCTACGAAACATCCGCACCAAGATGGGCCATGTGCCCAAGAAGGCTGAGTGAAGAGTGTACAGGCTCCAGTGTGTCCTCTCCCACCTGTGGTCTTCCCCTGCACGGGGCTGGGGGGTGGAGGGGGGCAGAGAGAGAAAGGGGGGCTGCTCCGACTAGCACTGAACCTTTGATTTCCTCTTGTGCGCCTTTTCTCTCTCCCAGGTGGCGCTGGAAGTTATCAGTGGCTAATGAGGTCCCAGCTCCCCATCCTCTGTTCTATTTAAAAGGCAACTTTTTTTTCTCAGACTCCATTAGCTCCTATTTTCTGCCTTCAAACAGGAAACCCCTGCTGTCAGGGAGTCCCCTAGACCCTTCTTCCCCTCCTGGGCCCTCCCACGCTGTCCCCAGGAGAGGTGAGGCTCCTCCTGCAGCTGCAGGGCACCAGTAGCCCGTGATTTCTGCCCTAAGGCCACTTTGCACCAGCCAACTGCTATTGCCAGTACCTCCGATTCCTGGGGAGGAGGAGGCCCATCACGCTCACGGACACCCTTCGAAGATGGCAGGCAGGGCTGGGAGGGAGGGGAACTTGACACAGATTAAAACTAGATTTGATACTAAACACTATCACTGAGTCATTCTTTTCAAAAGGGTACTACAAGCCAGAGACCACTTTCTTTGGGAAATATTCTCTTGGTACCTGCTCTTTCCACCCCAAAAGGGGCAGACTTCATCTCCTTGGAATGGGCAACCTGACAGGGACTTCTTTAAGCTTACGGGTCCTCTGCTTTCAGCTTCACTAATTCAATGATCATTTTACAGATGAAGCTTCTGGGTTTCAGGCTGGTGAAACCATTGAATGGAGGAAGGCAATATTAACAGTGGCTCACGGATGGTGTAGTCAGAAAGCCTGCGTTCAAACTCAGATGCTTAGTAACTAGCTTTGAGACTCTGAGGCGGAGAGTCTGTACCTTACTAAATCTGTTGTCCGTAATAGAATACACCCTGAGATTAGGGTAAAAGCAGTAAAGCCTGGTGTAAACACCTGATAATACCCCACTGTGACCACTACTGCTGCCGCCACCCTAGACGTCAGCGATGCTGGAACTAGACCCAAGGCTCCTGACTCAAAGCCCTGTGCTCAGTTTTTGGTGCTTTTCCTGGAGAGCCTGACAAGGAGCTGAATCCTAAGAAGATTTGGGAGCAGATCCAGCCTGACCTTTTACTAGGGATGTGTGTGTGGCTACATACAAAGGAGGCCCCTTTGAGATGAAAGGGGAGGGAGTGTGTAGGGCTCAAACTATGACCAACAGTGGAATAAAATAAAATTAAATGCTTCATTTACTGAACTACACTGGGGAAAACCTTAATAACAATAGAAAGAAATACATTTGTCACTTGTCAACTTTAATAACGATAAAAAGAAATACATTTGTCACTTGTGCCTAAAATATAAAAAAACAAAACAAACCAAGCGAACAATTACTTGTTTTCTACCAGACCATAGCTCATCTTCCTAGAATTTCCTTATCATTCCCATCTCCCCACCAGAGCCTTTCCCCCGCAAACCATCAATTAGAATAGCGAACAGATCAAATGAATGTTTAATGAGCATTTATGGGCCTACTCCCTCCATAAATAACCCTGTACAGAGTTGGGAATCAGGCTCCTGATAGATATAGGACGGCAGAGAGCATGGCATTAAGGCTCAGGGATCAGTACATGTCATCAGGCTCAGCACCCTCCCGTCTTCAAGAGCACTAACGAGGCTGTGGGAATCTCCACTGGAGTGGATACAGCAGGATCTCTGCTATAGGATCTCTCAAAATTTGGGGGATCCGTTGCAGGCTCAGCCTATGACCCAGGTCCAAATGTTCCAGCCTTCTCTGCCACCTCCAGGGCTAACTTCAGGTTCTGGTCAAACAGCTCACACCTAGGCCAGACCCAAGAAGCACAAATGATGACAAAGTGTGAGGTCTCAGACTCTCCTCCCACTTTGGGTGCCAAAGTACTCTTGCTTGAAGAAGGACATGAATGGCAAGAAAAGTCTTTGGTTTCTCAAAATAGGAAAAAAAGACTAGTCTGTTTTTGTTTTATTTAAAAGTAACTCTTCTTATCCTTTTGAAAAATGACCTGGGGAAGAGCACAAAGGGAGGGGCAAGGACTCTTCGACCAGTATCTGGGGAGGGTGACCGCCTACCTGATGGGCATTTCCAGGGAGTAGAATGGATTCTTGAGAGCAAAGTCTGAGTAGATCTCATAAATCTTTCGGAGAAGAGAATCTATTCCAGCTTGCCTAGGATCTGCCAGTACCACAAACTTGATCCCTGGAGAAGGACCAATAATGGTTACGGAAGGGTAGAGAATGCAGCAAATATCCTGTGTGCAGACGGCATTTTCATAAGCCCATTTTAATTTTTATCCTTATTGCTCCATAAAGCAGGAAAGGCAAGACTGTGAATCTATAAGACCAGAACAGGGAAGTCACACTGAGATCACGTTTTGACCTCTAGCTCTGTCACTTAATTCCTAGTCTTGTGGTCCCTCAGCAGCAAGTGCCAGGCAGGGGACAGACTCGGGCAGTTTTCAATTATCCCCATTAAGGGTGTGAGGCAATGACATGATCCAAAGGTCATTTCCATTTGGCATTCAAGTTTCATTTTAAAATACACCTTCCGAAACGTGTGCAACACGAGATACCATTATGGTGAGTTTTATCTGCACACAGGATAACCACGGCTGAGCATTCTGGGTGGAGTTGACAAAATCGGCATCAGATTAAATATTGGCTTTGGATTCACAAAACAAATAGACGTATGTGTCTGTGCAATTGTCCCAGGAAAAGTTAACCACCACCCCCTTGCTTACCAAAGTTTCTTTGGTCAGTCCCTTCCCCCATCCCTCTGGTCTATCTGGAGATGCCTACCTGTCAGTGTCTGGAAGCAATGCAGCTTGAAGGTGTCGGTCTCCAACATCTCAATGCCTGAGCTGCCCTGTTCTGGAGACAGCTGGGAACCGATTGCAAACAGCCTATTTGCAAAAGAGGTAAGCTTGGGAATGCAGCCGGCCCTATGAGGGAGGGATGCTTCTCAAACTTGTCCCCTGAAGTGACCCTATCTGCTGAGGAGTTCACATTACACTGAGAAGTCAGAAGAGGCAGTGTCAACCGCCTAGCAGCAGCACCAAAATTCCTTTAAAATTCACTTGAGCTCTGCATGTTTTTTACACTCATACTTTGGTGTAAAACATTTTACATTGAAAACTGAGGGTAAAATTACCACTGGGCATATGTGTCATGGTTACTTACCCCATGGCTATGATTACCCAGCACATCTACGATCGTCGACAATGAGAAAAAGGTCTTAACGATAATTTAATTCAGTTACCTGACTTTAGAAACTAAAGCTGAAGGAAGAGAAGTGGACTTGTGCAAGGTCACACCACTGCCGGTATTACCTAAAACCTAGTCATCCTGGATTAGTTCTTTTTCTTTCACAACACAAGAACTGACGATTTAAAAGGAGGCTTAGAAAGGTAAGCACGGCCGCTCAGGAGACTTCCCGCAGAACCACACTAATCCAGCCGGCCTAAGGGCCAAGGGCAGGACCACAGGGCCTAGGAAGGGCTGGGGGACTTACGAGTGGAACATGGAGGCCAGCATGAGCTTCTCATTGGAGGTGAGGCGCGGTCGGCCGAATCGAATGGACACCGGGTAATTGGCAGGGTTGCCCAAGTACTCCAGCACCTCTTTCCCATCGGCCGTGTACTTGCCATTCACGTCCACGCCATTGATGGCCAGCACTGCGTGGCCCACTGCAGAGGTGAGGCTAAGGGTCAACGAAGCCCCAGCGCGGGGATTCCACCAAAGGGACTGGCGACCCGGCCTCACCCCGTCCCCTCTCCCTCCGCGCCCTTCCCCCGCCCCGCAGAGACACCAGCCCACTCTGCAGCACCCGGCCCGCCCATCGGACGCAAGCCTAGCCCACCCCGGATGCCGTCGCGCTGGCCAAAGGCAACCAGCACACGCTCGTCATGCAGCTTCAGCAGCAGATCAAGGGGGTAACTGAAAGTTTTCTCAGCCTCGGCCCGTGGCGCGTAGCTGTCCAACTGGTAGATCAGGCCGCCAGCTTTGTTCACCACATACACGCTAAAAATCGCCATTGCTGCCGCCGCGGCCCGGAGACGCCTATTCGGCCTGTTCCTGACGGCCCCGCCCCGGAACCGCAGCCTCGGGACCCGCCGCCGCCCACTGCTCCCTGACCCGCGCGCGCCGGCGCCTGCGCACTTGAAGCACCACGCTTAGCGGGGTCGCCGGGGGTCCCTTCGGGTTCCGGCAGATTGTTTTCTGTCTCTCTTTACTCGTTTCCAGAGCCAGGGGAAGCAAAGTGTGGCTGCCTCACAACTAACGGCAAAACCCAGTAAGCCGCGGGCAGCTCTCAGGATGCGACCCTCGGGAACAACCGTCCCCTCGCTGCGGCCCCCTCCCCGCTGCACGAGGGGGCCGGAGTTCCGGCCTTTCTCTGCGGGCTCCGCCCCTTGCCCCGGAAGCGCTCGTTGCGGATGGAGGTTTCTGGGCCGGTTGGGAGAGGCGCTTCCTTTTTGTCCGACATCTTAGTGAGGCTGCAGGGGTGGACGTTCCTCTTTCAGCTTCGCTATGGTGAGCTCTCGGGAATGGGGGGCCGGGCTGTTCTGAGAGCCGGGCGGTGCTGGGGCGCAGTTGGGGCGACACCGGACGGAGGGCCTCAGACCCGCCGGGCCGCTTTTTCAAGGTGGGTGGGGGGATTGCTTCACCCATGTGCTCCGGTAGTGGGGTTAGGACGGTGCGGGGCTGCCTCGTGACCTGCCTGCATTCCCCCTTTTTTCTCTGCAGCCGCCCAAGGATGACAAGAAGAAGAAGGATGCCGGAAAATCGGCCAAAAAAGACAAAGACCCAGTGAACAAATCTGGGGGCAAGGCCAAAAAGAAGGTAGGCGTGAGCTCCCCCCCACCACCCAGGAGTGGGGGTTATCGGAGACGCCGGACCCATGTGTCTTGGTAATAAGTGACGTGTAGGACAAATGGCTTTTAAGGTTGCGCGGTCTAGAGTCCGACTATTAGAACTTGTACTCCTCGTCACCGTTCTGTTGTTTTGGAAGAATAGGGTGGTACACGCTACTTAGAAGTTAGCAGTGTGTATTCTGAGGCCTAGTCCATTATATTTTTAATTGGTATCGTGGGGTTCAGCCTGTATCCGAAAGTCGCATTTTTATTTTTTCCCCCAGCCTAACGCATCTTTGGTACTGTTAGTGGCAGCTAGGGTTCCTTTTGTTTTGTGTCCTGGTTTCAATTATTTGAGTCTTAGTGTGTAGAACTTATGTAAAATCTGAATTTCGTAGGTTTGTATAGGCCAAGGAACAGCCATCCTTGCAGTATAGCAGGAGGGCAGTGGAAGAGTTCTCTGACACCGGTTGTTGTTCCGGGGGGATGATTTCTTTAGAAGCACTGATTTTCTTTCTCTTTTGGTGAGCAGAAGTGGTCCAAAGGCAAAGTTCGGGACAAGCTGAATAATTTGGTCTTGTTTGACAAAGCGACATACGACAAACTCTGTAAAGAAGTTCCTAACTATAAGCTTATAACTCCAGCTGTTGTCTCTGAGAGACTGAAGATTCGAGGTTCCCTGGCCAGGGCAGCCCTTCAGGAGCTCCTTAGTAAAGGTGAGAGGGTGCTTTTACACGTTAAATTGGCCTGCCTGTATTAGCCATCTTAAATGTTTTTACTGGAATTTTGTAAAGTAGGCACAGGCTGACCACTAGCCATAATATTCTAACATTAGTTACCCCCTTGTGTAGACCCCAGAGCAGGGTTCATGGTTGCTTTTGTCCCGTGGACCCCTATGTCCTGTTGGTGGAGCTTCAGGATCCCTTGTTTTCAAATAAATTCATTTTATTTAAAGAGTTACATAAGAAACCCAATATTGAAATATGGTTGTGAAAATAGTAAAAGTTTTGGTAGGAAAGTATTTTTTACTTAAGTATTCTTAAAATTTAGTGGTGATTTAATTACCATGATTTCATATTAATGTAAATGAATGTAAATGTTTTAAGCATCTGTAGTGTCTAATGTGGAAACAGTAATTTTTAAGTTAAAGCGCTATGAGGGTAAGCATCCCAATAGCAGGTAATTGGCCCTTCATTTAGGAAGAAAAAATAAAATTAGATCATCACCAAGACATGAGGGATGTTTGCCTTTGTTATTAAATTCTAATGCTCAAATTCAGTATTTTTAGTGTGTTAAATATTTCCTAGTACCGCATAAAAACCCTACTCTTATTTTTTTCTCTCTAGGACTTATTAAACTGGTTTCAAAGCACAGAGCTCAAGTAATTTACACCAGAAATACCAAGGGTGGAGATGCCCCAGCTGCTGGTGAAGATGCATGAACAAGGTAAGAACGAATGCGGGCTTGTGGTGTAGAAAGTGTATACATCCCACTTTTGTATTAGGCTCTAGAGTTCTGATTCTTTTATTTTTATTTTTTACAGATCCACCAACTGTACATTTTGGAAAATAAAACTTTATTAAATCAAATAAGTGGGTATGTCTCTTTCCTAAGAAAAGGATTTAGGTATGGGTTTGTTGACTTGAAAAAGTATCCGGAAACGATTGGCTTTTTTTATGTGACTGTTTGTTCCTTGCTGCAGCTTCTGTTTTGAACTGATGTCTGAAAGGAAATGAAAGGTTAGCGGGATAAAGGCTGACATCTCCAAAGGGATAGTGGGTTGGGGTCCTGGCAGTGGATCCACACCTGGATTGCCAGCGGCGTCCATTATTCCAGACCCGGCCGAAAGAGGGCAGCCAGCCTATACTGGTGCTGGAGCTATGATCAAAGTTGGCCCCAACTCTGTCTGGGGGGAGTTTCTTCAATTTCTGTTTTTCCTCTACAAAGAAGTCAACAGCTTTTAAACGGTTTTGCTTTGAGTAGGAAAATTTAGACAGCCCATTCTTGAATTTGTTAACTTACTTTCTTTAAGGAATTCTTCATAGGATGGTCCTATTTGTTGGTTTACAGAGCTGTATTCTCCATCCTGGACCATCCAAGGAGGTGTAGCACCTGGAAAAGGCCCATTAAGCAGGAATGAAGGCAGTCTTAAGTTTCAGACTACTGTGAAACATGCCCTTGCTATAAACTCTTACCTAATGCTCAAAAGCAAAACCCAGGAATTTTGGACCATGGGCTGGTATTTAACAGCTTTGTTGAGGCATAACAGACCTACCACTGCCCAATGGAAAATACACAATTTGAAAACTTTGAAACCATCACAGTCAAGATATTAAATATCACCACTATGTATTGTTCTGCCCCTTTAAAGGACTTCCTACTCCTCTCTGTACCTTTTCCCAACCCCAGGAAACTATGAATATGCTTCTGTTAATCTAATTTGCATTTACTAGTTATGTACCTTTTTTCAATCTGGCTTCTAATAATTGAGATTCATCTATGCTGCACTTAACAACAGTACCTTCTTTGTTGGGCACTGCTCTGTTCCTTCATTGAGGCACATTTGGATTCTTTTCAGCTTCAGTGTTGGGGTATTGCAACTAAAGCTGTGACCATCTGGTGTGCAAGCCTTTGTGCAGACATGTTTGCTTTCCTCCTGCAATGTCTGGATCATAATGGTGGGTGTATGTTTAACTTCTTAAATCCCTGAACTGTTTCTCCAATTGGTTGTGCCATTTTACATTCCCACCAGCAGTTTATGAATGTTTCTTCACATACACAGTCTTTAATTTTAGCCACTCTGATGAACCATCTTCTACATGATTTTACTAAGTTTTGAGAGAGTTCTTCATATATTTAAGATTCAAGTCCTTCATCAGATAGCACTTCATAATCAACCTTATTCTTTAAGAAAGTAATTGGGGGGCACAGTCCGTTCAGTGTCCACCTTTAAAAAAGATTTCAATAAGTGAGTGAGCACTGGGGTGGGGGGTGGGAGAAGAGGGAGAGAATCTTAAGCAGACTTGGTGCTGAGCCTGAAGCCTGAGGTGTAGCTCAATCTCACGACCCCGAGATCAGACCTGAGCTGAAACCAAGAGTCAGATGCTGAACTGACCATCACCCAGGTGCCCCCAAGATAATTAACTTTAAAAAGGTAATAAAATAATTGCCTCTTACCATCTGAGAAACACTGCTCTGGGCCTTACCTGAGTGGATGTTACCAATTCCTGGTGTATCCTGTAGTTGGAAATGGGGGTGGGGGGGGGAAATCCCAGATAAGAAACTGATGACAATATATTCCCAACTAGAAAAAGGACAAAGCCGCAGGCAGGCGGGTGGTTGGGGGTGGAAGCACCACAGTGCTACTTCTGTCCCCTGGTTGGTGTTAAATTTTAAAAGCACAGATAACAAAGAGTCCTGTCCCTCAAAAGACTTACGGTCTTAGTAGTGAAGATGTCTAAAAATAGAGTGCCTACTAGGTGCACATTAGCAAAACTCTTTCCTCACAGGACAGTATATGTTGTGGGGGGAGAGATTTAAGCATAAATTACACAGGTGACATTTTCAGCTTTTTACATGGTCCCATGTACATTTATAACAGGCAACCTGTTCACAGAAGCCTTCCATGAAAAGGTGACCTTTGAGCTAGGCTGAAGAAAGGTAGGCCTATCATTTAAAGCAAGGGCAATGACACGTGCAGAAACCACAAGATGCACAGTATGGTTGGAGTGTACAGGACATGAGGGGAGGCAGTGGCTTTCTGTGTTCAGAACAGGATTACAGGGGGCATAGAAACTTGCAGAAAAGTGTAACACAGGACATCTAGCCAGGAGGTAAAACAGGCCGCCTCCTCGACAGGGTGTAGGAGATGAAAGAAGAGGAAATTACTCGGCTACAGTTCTGGTAATCTAGGGACAGCAGGGGTTAGCTTCAGGTGCCTGTGGAATGTTTACAAATGTCCTAAATTGAGCAGAAACGGGGGGTTCTACAGAGGATGCCTGTAGGAGTGGGCACTCTTCAGTGGCAGTGGGGGCAAGAGGTGTGGAAGAGCTCACTGGACGGCGGGGAAGGAGGTCCAAGAACACATTATGTCTCTGTCAAATAAAATCTAAAAAACCCAACACACCATGGAGCGGTGCAGCCAAGAGACAAGACCCAGACGGCCAGAATAGGTGCAAAACGTGAGAGATGGAGGCCCTGGGAACTGAGCACTGGCCCTTCCTGACTCACTTATCCACGGTACCTGATGGCCGATGAATGTCAAAGGTTGTCCTGTCTCCATCCAGTCAAGCTCTGGGGCAGGTGGCAGGTCCAAGTAGGAGGGCTGCTGTGAGGCGGAGGCCACTAGACTGAAAAAGACAAGCAGGAGCCAGGCTGGCAGAGGAGGTCCTTGAGCCATGAGGACAACAGAGGTGAACTCTTGCCATTTTCCAACCAAAAAGTTACAGAATGCTCTAACAATCCAAACTCAACGAGATTCCTTAGCAATTTTACCTGCTGGTCCCTTTCCAGCTTCCAAGTGCTGAAGAGCCTTCTTCTGGGTCTGGCACTGGCTGAGGCTGAGTTTGATTCAGGAAAAATAAATGTGTCTTGGATGCTTAAGAGTCTGCCTAGGCCATGCTCCCACCCTCCAGTAGGAAACAAATTAGCATACTGACATAAGGTACTGCCCATTTTGCAAACTTCCTTTTTTCCCCTCCCAGCTCAGCCCACATTGCCACTGACAAGGCCTGCCCCCTGGCGGACAGGTAAGGGAATTCAAGCCGAACAGATGAAGTATGGAGTCCGTGAGTTCTAGAAGAGCTGGTAGGTGAAATGCTGGACCTGGGAGAACCAGGGATCAGATGGATTTGGATACTGCTCTGGCTCCTCCGAGGGACACCAACCTCTAAGACAGACCGAACCAGCTCCTGCCGGCTGTGCTCCACCTCACGAATCTGAGCTGCCATCTGTAGGGGAGAGGCTGCTTAGCTTGGTACAAGGCCAGGGGGCTGTGTCCTTCAGTGGCCTTTTAACTCACTTCTTTGATCACCTCATCCTCCTTTTCCTCATAGGTATCCAGACTTTTCACCATGGATTTCTTGAATCTGAAAAGAAAAAGGGCAAGTCAGCCAAGAACCTGTCTCTGCATGTTACAAAAAGATCCTCAGTAGATCATTTTTTCTTCAAATTTTGGATAATTTCAAAATCACAAAAACAAAATAGAACAATTAACACCCATGGACCTTTCACCCAGATTCACTGTAAACATTTTGCCATACTGGCTCCACTTTTCTTCTAGCACGTATTTCCTTTTTGCGAAATCAAAAAGGGACTTTAGAACATCATGAGACTTAACAGTTGTTATTATCCTACAATACACAGGAAGGTATCAGAAAAGTACCAATACTACCAATATCACTATCAACAATAGAACTACTAACCAAAGCTCAGGATTTCTCCTGTTCTTCAGTCCTTAGTAAATATCCTAAGGCTATACAGTTAGAATTTTGTGTTGAAGTTACTTGAATTGTGACTCTTTTATAACTGTTAAAAATTTGATATATAATTATGATAATCTGTCATTGGTTTGCAATGAGTTCTAGGATTTGCTTTCTGGCCTGATTTTATTTTGTAATTTATTTTTATAAATAGTGTTCCACAGCTCACACTATAGTTACCTAGCCCTTTTTGTTTCAGAGTGGCCCTTTTTGGTGGGTGGGCAAGGACCTGGGAAGCTGGCACTCCGGGTTTATTTTCTTCGATCTTTAAGTGATAACCTGTCTAAATCTAAAAGTGGCTTGTGGTGTCTTTACCAGTCAAAGCAGTCAGACTTGGCTTTGCCTTGTGCGGGTGCACGTTAAATGTATAAAGTTCAAAAGTCAAAACTGGGGTGCCTGGGTAGCTCAGCTGGTTAAGTATCTGCCTTCAGCTCAGGTCATGATCCCAGCGAGCCCAGTGTCAGGCTCCTTGCTGAGGAGAGTCTGCTTCTCCCTCTCCCACTCCCCCTGCTCATGCTAGCTCTTATACTTTCTCTAAATAAACAAAATCTTAAAAAAAAACAAAACAAAAAATGAAAACTAATAAAAAATTCAAAGAGTCCAGGGGCACCTGGGTGGCTCAGTGGGTTAAAGCCTCTGCATTCGGCTCAGGTCATGATCTCAGGGTTCTGGGATCGAGCCCTGCATCGGGCTCTCTGCTTAGTGGGGAGCCTGCTTCCCCCTTTCTCTGCCTGCCTCTCTGCCTACTTGTGATCTCTCTGTCAAATAAATAAATAAAATCTTAAAAAAAATTTTTTTTAAAAATCAAGGAGTCCATTTTCATAATTCTCAATTATAACTTTTTCTGCTCAACTATTCTTTATTCCCACCAAACACCGTTTGGAGCTGGGCCAGGGTGTAAGGAGTTAGTGCTTTTTGGCCTCAGTTCTCCATCTCCTGCCCAGTTTGAACCACAGATTTGAAGGCAAGGTAGTAGGATTTAGGCATTTCTCACCATTCCTTCATTATTCTCCACACTGAATAGGAAACAATAATAGAGGTCATGAGTTTTTCTGTAACTTTGGTTCTGGGATCCCCTTGGGTTCCATTCCCCATAATCTTAAT